AATCAGGTCTAAATGGTCTTTTTACGATAATTAATTTTTGTATGATGATAATTTTTTAAATTCACTTTTGAACTTATCTATATTTTATTTAAAAAATGGCAAACACATAGTCTAAGATTGATTCTTTGAAAGAGCTAGATTCGAAGCTCTTAGTCAAGATTACTAATCTTAGAAAGGAGAATGCCTGAACTTGGAAAAAATTTTTCTGAATTTGAGGCTGAGAACATCGAACTTAAAGCTGAGAACGTAAAATTAAAACAGGCTTTGGAAGAACATGAATCCAGATTTGCGAAACTGGACAAGAACGATAAAGATACTACTGTTTAAAATGCTTAGCTTAAGGCTAGAGTTGCGAAATTAGAACAGAAGCAATCGAAAACCGATGAAAAGAACAACTTTATTATTAAATCAGATGATGATGCCAAGGTAATTGATCGATCTTTAGTTCATAGCACCTCCAACAAAATGGAAAATTCTAACAATACCGAACAGATAGTGCCACAATATGATGATACTCCTGCGACTAATATTTCTGATACCACTTCAAATTCTGATATATACCAGGATTCGGTAATCTCCACATCTTCCGCAGAGGCCAAATCATTGGAAGACAAAATGATTGATGAAACCTTGGATGAGGCACATAAGAAAAGTGTTAGCGATTCAATCAGGCAAAGAAAGCGTGAGAATATGCTTCAGTATGGATCACCTAGCCAAGAGGCACTCTCGATTTCCCAGAATACTGCATCTACTTCCCACGAGCGGAAAAACGAACAGGACTTGATTCGAGAAATGATTTCATCCAAAGAAGAAAAGCACGTGACTGAAATTTCAGCGAACTTGGTTCACCCAAATAATGAGACTTCAATAACCCCATCTATTCTAGCCATGACCCAATTGCCACCAGATAGTGGAGATGTTATTAGTCTATATAAAAACGCATGTGATGCGGAAATAAGTGCAATCGAAGCCAATAGAGAAGAAACGTTACATTGGTGTTTCTATGCTAGAGAATTCAAAAGCATGTATAGAGATTTATGGTCAGCAATAAAGTTGGGGAAAAGAAGGCAAAAGGTCAAGTATACAACTTTATTGTCAAGCAGCTACCGGACACCAAACGCAAAACTTTATGTAAGCAGACACAGAAAGCTTTAAGGATTGACAATTTATTCGAAAGAATAGGAATGAACAAGATTCAACACATCAAAACATATAGTGCATACAATTTCAAAATTTACTAATACTCAAATTCAAAAGATTATAGATCACTTCGGCAAGAAGCCTGATATAGAATTCACCGATAATTCTTCTGATGTTATTGAAACAAATGAAGTTTTATATTGTCGGAGGTCACGTAGGTGACGCGATTTACGCGTAACGGTTTAGAGTGTCACAAGGTAAGAAACTATGGATTGAGACTCGGTTACTGATAAGGGAACTATGTGTGTCTGACGGAGTATGGAAAGTTTAGCAAAGTTTAGAGTTAGCATAGTCTATTGTAAAGTAGATGGTCCATTGTTAGCTAGAAAAGTATAAATAGCCTACCAGTGTAAGACGAGAAGGTAGTGCTGAATGTATTAGAAAAACAGCCCTCATTGTGAATAGAGATAAGAGTTAGTATTATACAAAAGAAACAGAACGCGAATAAAGAGACACTTACACTTACCCTCGACCAAGTCAATCACCATGTTTCTGCCTTCCCTAAGTGTTCTTTACAGAAGGTGTTCTCTTCTTTGTATCGGTTGAGAGTATTGTTAGTCGTTTGGGTTACGCGAGGCACTACGGATTAGCGACGGACTCGCCGGATTAGCCCACGACAATATAATAATGCTATTACATCTAAATCTTTACCAGAGGTTGAGATATTTGAGGAGACGCTCGAAGAGCGCCCCATAGGACCTGAAAAATCTTTATTGGATGTAAGTAATGATCGAGATTCCGGCTATGAATGCGATTTTAAAGACGTCTACGATAACGACGAAGATGTTTCACAGAGTGAGGATGTTGCCAATGCATTTAAGGGTGATGATGGGTTCCGTGGATTTTCTGACTATGATAATGAAGGTTATTATTATGATTTAAATACCGGCGAAACTTATAGAAAATCAAATCGTTCAATCTGCGCATATTAAATAAAAAAATTATTGACCTCCACATATTTTTCGTGCAACCCAATTTCTCTGATTCGGTATTTTCCACCGGTCATGAATTTCATTTCCCATTCTAATTTCTTTCGTTATAATGAATAAACTCTTTCAAAAGCTTGGACAAATGTCTATTCTGGTTAATAATATTTTGGAGGCAACTACATAGTAGCTATTCTCATTTGAAATCGCCCGGTCCGAGATAAACAATATTGATACGACGAAGGTATGATTAAAGTACGATGTAATCGCGGTTGAGTTGCAGTATATACTGTATATATATATATTTCCTATATATCCACTATGTGAACACAAAGAAATTCTATGAAAACAGGTGTATAGCAGTTGAGTCGCGAGGTCGCGAGACGCGTTAAAACTTTTCATGTCAAAATGAGGTAACCACGTGATGGTATAATTTCGTAAAACATTAATAAAATTGGGTCAATTTGTGCGACAATAGATTTTTTACTTTTTAAATCCATGTCGTTTAACGTTGCAGGTTCTAACCTTCTGACGGTCGAGAAAGTGAGAGGATTTAATGACGAAGAACTTAATGGCTTTTTGAAAAGGAGGTTAAACAATATTGATAATGAGATAGACGCGTTAGCAGCTGAAAAAGTCGATGGTAAAGCTTTTCTTGAATTAACTCCTGAAGACCTTACAAAGCTGGGAATACTTCTTTGACCAGCTAAAAAAATCTTGAAGTTGATTAATGAAATTAAAGGAGGCAATCAAAATTATTCTTGCCCAAACCGTGTCAATATTCGCCAATAATACCAAATGCTTATTTATTCTTGCGCTTTTCTTTCTGCTTCTTATCGTCAAACCCGCCCAAAAACGCATTTACATTATCGTAGATCAACACGTTGCTGGTAAGTGAGTCGAGTGAGTCGTAATAAATTAGTCAACGCGAATGAATGTATTATGGCTTAACTTTTTGATTTGTTGTTATATTTCTGTCTTTCAATTTCTAACCAATACCTTATTTCACTTTCAGGCGCAGGACAAGGTAATTTTTCTGATATTATTTAAAAATGTTGATTATATATTAACGCTTCGTTTATCTTACAGAATTAAAGAGACGATTTGATGAAATTAGTTTCAAAATGGACGGGATGAATCGTGAATTGAAGAGGGAACTGAAGAGGATACATTTTGCTGCGGATGCATGGTACAGTGCTATAGGTATGTTATTCGCCTAGTTTTTCAACTATTTCTGGAAATGTCATTAACAATTTGTTTAGGTACTCTTACAAAAACCGAAAAGGGTAAATTTGTGAAAGAAAAAGGTGTTGAAATTCTGTTTCCGCTTGGTTTGACCAATAGTTTCAAATCAAAGTCACCTGGAAAGTTTTTAAACCGCCTAATATGGACAAGAACGCAAATCCAAAAGAAGAAAAAGTACAAGATTACTTTATGGATGAATGCAAGGCACTAGAAAATTATGCAAACATATGCAAACATACAAAACAAACTTATTATCAGGGACACATTTTTCACCATTGCTGGATACTCGAAAACCAGATTTTGTATTCATTTCGAGCGATTCTCCTTTGGATCCGTTAAGTGTCGTAGCCGTTGGTGAGATCAAGAAGCGAGTTAGTAGAAGTTTTAGCAATACAGATATAGGACATGTACAGTAATATCATTTGGAGAAAAAATACTCCAGCTTCAGCCACGACGAAACTATGTGTATGTAGTGTTGACAGATTGTATCATAATCAATATATATAAGTTCAAAAGTGAATTTAAAAAATTATCATCATACAAAAATTAATTATCGTAAAAAGACCATTTAGACCTGATT